TTAAGGGGGGCGGCTGGAGGATGCGGGCTCGTCAGCACCGAGATAAGGGCGTCCCCGCGGGGCCAAGGCCGGGCCCGGCTCCTCCCGCACCCCGGGGCCGGCGGGACGGAGCCCAGGCAGCCGCGGGGGGCACGGGCAGGGGGCGGCGAGATAAGCCCCGCGCCAGGGACCAACCCGATCATCAGCCACGGGAACAGCGGGTAACAACCCATCCTGACAAGGGATGGTCACAGAACGACGGGATCACCTTGGCTGGAAAAGACCTTCCAGCTCATCAAGCCCAACCGCTAACCAGGCACTGACAAGTCCTTAACTAAACCACCTCCCTAAGTACCCTAAGTGTCTGTAGGACTCCAGGCTCCCTGGGCAGCCTGTTCCAGTGCCTGACAACCCTTTCAGTGAAGAAATTCTTCCCAACATCCAACCTAAGCCTCCCCTGGCACAACTTGAGGCCATTCCCTCTTGTCCTACCACTAGTTACTCCGTTTGAACAGCCTGGTCCTCACCTCTATACAACCTCCTTTCAGGGAGCTGCAGAGAGTGAGAAGGTCTCCCCTCAGCCTCCTTTTCCCCAGGCTGAACAGCCCCAGCTCCCCCAGCCACTCCTCATACCACAACTGCTCCAAACCCTTCATCAGCTTCACTGCCCTTCTCTGGACATACTCTAGTAGCTCAGTGTCCCTTCTCTAATGGTGGGCAACACCCATCAGTAACAGGTAACAACGGGCAATGATGGGCAGTGCTGCACAACCACACCTCACAGCACAGCCACCCGGAATAACCAGAGCCAGGCTCAGCTCAACCTTCTCTAACACCAGACAAGAGTCTCTCCCCACCTCAGGGAACCAGACCCCACAGCAAAGCCCTTGCTGCACCAGCACAACAAAGCCCCAGTGCATGAGCCCAAACCCCACAGGCAGAGTGGGACCCCCCTGCACCCCAAAACACACATGGGACCAGTGGGGCAGCTCCAGGGGTGTGTTTCATCCACATCCCATGGGCAAGGGTGTTCCAGAGCCCTCTCAGAGCCCCTCAGCTGCTCCACCAGACTAGATAAAGCTGAATATTCAGTGTATTAATCCACTGCACCCTGGGCTGGGAGTGAGGGAAGCCCCCAGACCCTCCCCCAGACCCTGTTTATCTGCCACGGGGCTGGGAGCAGCGGGACACGGCGGAGCAGCGATAACACTCAAGGATGAAATGACATTTCTGGGATGAGTTACAGCCCCAGAGCCCGGCGCTCCTGGGAGCCCGTGAATCACCAGCTGCTTCCTTTGACGTCAGCCCCTGCTCCCTCCTGCGGGGAACGTGACCTTCCTCCTGCTGTTGCAACAACTTGGCCAAGGGGGAGGTCAGCTGCTCTGCCAGCTCAGCCCTGGGGAGCCCCTCGTCCCCCCCAGCCCACCCGCCGAGCCCCCAGGAGATGATTTTGGGTCCTACCTGCCATCCAGGAAGGGTCCTGCTGCTGTGGGACACCTCTCCTTCACCACCAGGGCTGCTGCTCTCCTCCAGGTGCAGGAGGAGACACCTCTGATTCATGTGCAAGCAGATGGAAGTGCTGGCGGGACCAAGAGGGAGCCAGGAGCTGTGCCACCCACTTCCCAAATGTTTACAGGGAAATCCCTGCTCTCCAGTGGGTGCTGCAGCCCCAGTGCGATTCTTGGGGTCCCCCTGCAGGTGCCCCCCCGGGATGGGCTTCATCCAGCTGGTTCCTGTGCCTGGGGGAGGAAAAAAAACAGGATGGTTTGAAATTCCCGATTGCCTGGAGCTCCCAACCCCACAGCCCAGAGCTGATGCCAACGCCAAGTACCAAGGGACCTGCAGCAGCAGGGAGACCCTCCAGCACGGGGCAGCCCCCCTGGACCCCCACAGCCCCCTGCCCTGCCAGTGACACAGCTGGGGGACACAGCACTGGGGACACAGCACGGGGGTGGCAGGGGGACCCCCCGGCTGCCCCCCAGCCGGGACCGTTATCCCAGAGGGAGCAGGCACTCCCAGGCACAAGGCCTCGGCACAAGGACACCCTGTTGTTTGTGAGAAGAACCAAAACATCCCAGGCACAGCCAGCCCTTCAGCTGCAGGCTGGGGGGCTGGGGGGAGTGAACCCCTCTGTGGTAGCCAGAAGGGACACAGGGACAGTCACACCCACAGCCTGCGGGAAGCTGTGCCAAAAAGGCACCCATGAGACCCTCAGGAGGGTCTGGTTAATTGGGACCCCCAGCCCTGAGCCCTTCCCAGCTCCTGACCTGACCTCAGCATCTCCTCTGGCTGTCCCTCAGGGGTCCCACGCTGTCACTGTGCCACCAGGCTGCCCGCCATGCCCACAGAGCCTGGGGAAGGGACAGCAGCACCAGGGATGGCACCGGGAGCAGCAGATGTGGCTCTGGGGATGGGTTTGGGGTCCCTGCACCTACCTTGGGCACAGGGCAGGCACCTCTCCACTGGGATGGGGGGGACACACGGCTGGTCTGGCTGGCAGAGCCAAGCTGGGGGTGCTGGGGGCACGGGAGGGATGTGGTCCCCCCTGCCAGTGAGGGGGCACCCGGGATGGCACCTGGAGCCCTCCCACCCACATCCCACAGGATGCAGGAGGAAGAGAAAACTCTGGGGGAGGCAAAAGAGCCACAAAAGCCCCCAACCCCCCCGAGAAAACACCCCCCAGGCAAAGTCACCACGTGTCTTCACTGGCAGGATTTTAGCTTAAAAATGTACAACCAGGCGCTCGAGGTACAAATATTTACAGGTGTTTACAAATGTACAAAATGAAATGTAAACCAAAGGCATCGGGAGCCGCGATTCCCCAGGGCCCACGGGGGGGTCTGGGCACCCACAGG